GTACTGGCAGAACACTGTCATTCACACCGAATCAGTACTATGTCGGTGGTAAAAAAACATTAAATGAAAAAGTCTTTAAATTATTCCAATAGGTAGAAAACGATGATTTTTTATTAAAAAATATGTTTATTAATTTCTTTCCAATACTTTCTCTCAAAATTTTTGATGTAATTGTAATGTATTATTATTATATATATAAAATATATTTGTTTGTATTACTTAAAAATTTTGTGAGATAAAAAAATTTAAGAATAAATACATTTTATTTTCGTGATCAATAGATAATACGGTCTTCGAAATGAAAACTTTTGCATTAGGGTAAACTGCTTCAAGTCAGCGCGGCTGTGTGGTATGCGTATCCGACTTGCGTTCTTAGGGTTTAGGGTTCGATCCCTCATGCGTGCGAGATTTTTCATTCTTAGTTTTAAGTGTTATAAGTACAATATTTGTTTATCTGTAATATTAATTATTAAATAATTAATTAATTAAGTATAAGTGCAAAGTAAAAAAAAATTAAATAGTATGAATTAAAAAAAAAAAATTACAACACAAAAATATTTTTTGTAAATTAATTTATTAAAAATAATATAATTAAATTAACATATATGATTATTATTTTAATTATTTATTATTAATAATAGTTTATATATTCTAAATTAAATTAACTATTATTACCCTCACATTACCTTTTCGTGGTAAAAATGGGAGTAATAAGCTTATAAGGATGAAATTTGCAATGGAAAGAGTATTATATAGTATTTTGTAAAAAAATGAGATTTTAACTCCGGATGAGTACTTTACCAGTATTATTCCAGTACTACGTTAGTACTGGTGAGCGGGACAAAATCAGAACTGGTTAGCGTTACCACCCAGGGCTGGCCCACTACTGACCCAGTACGGCAGTCAGTACTGTTATACTGACTGTCAGTGTTGGGTCCGCCGTGGCGCTCCCGGCTTCAGAATAGGGCGCCTGTAGTCCACTGCATGTCGTAAAAGGCGACTAAAATGGGTGCGGAGGGTTGTACCCATCTAGCTAAGTACCGCTTCGACGGAGACGCTGAGATGGGACATTACCGATGATGTATGAACGCACTACGCCTGCCAGGTGTTCACCATGTGAAATGGGACCCTCCCCGTGCAAGGTGGCCGTGGAAGTCCGGCCGGAGAATTTGTCTTCCCGTATCCCATCGCGTGTCGTACGAGGCGACTAAAGAGGGAAATTTGAACGCAGTACGCCTCCTCGTCCGGAGGCAGGGTGAGACCGTTGTGGTTTCAGACTGCGGTCTGACACTTCGGTCTGGGAGCGGATGTTCCACGTGGTCCCCGTTTGGAAGTGCAGGATTCTTGTCCTCGCTAACTCACGCCCACTCCTGTTGGGGTGTTATCGGGTCCAAGATGAATGTTACTAACCGTTCCGCCATTTCATTGGGCATCCTATTGTATGAGTGTGTGTGTGAATGAGTGTGTGTGACCACCAGACCATCGGTGGGTGGAGCTTAGCTCGGAGACGGAACCTCCACGAGGTCCCCGCTGGGTACTTTGATTCCCTTCTTCCGCTCAAGTTCTACTTGCACGGGCGAAGGGAATCAATGCTAACCGTCTCCTCCTGGAAGGGCACCCGGTCTTCTTCGCCGTTTTGGTCCCTAAGGACCTTACAACGGCAATTTTTCCCTCCTCTTTCCCCATGGTGCATCGGTAGCGAGGCGGCTTGCCAAATCGCCGCCGTTTCAACATGCCGGCAGTGCTTCCGCTAGAGAATGGATATGCTTATATAACATCGGGAGTTATAGTCCTTAAGGACCCAGGTATCCCTTCTCTGCCTCGAGCATGAAGATAAGCGCAATTCTGTCAGTGTTGGGTCAGTACTATGCCAGTGGCACATTTCTACTTGGGTTAGTTCAATAAATTAAAAACTAAGAACTTGACATACATTTTATTTATTCAGGGAAGGTATTATTTAAGCATTAATATAATTAACTAAAGTTTTCAATTTCCTTATTTTTCCTTAAATGTGAATTTTGCCCATATTGACTTTTGGAAAAATCTCCAAACGGCATATAAATTAAATATAAATATAATTAACTAGTTTTATTATTTCTCAAGATTTTTATTTATTTATAACAGAATATTAAATTAAATTTCAGTTTGGGAATACTTTGGGAAATCCCAGTTTCAGGCCAGGTTGGGTTGACCCAAACTTTTCCCAAGTACAATGAAAAACAAACATTTTTTTCAGCTTTTCACAGTTGTGCTTTTTTGTATATTTGTTCAGCATATTATTTAAATAATAATTTAATTAACTTAATTCTTTTATTACTTCATTTTTCAAACTTTGGGAAGCCAAGTTGGGCCCAGATTGGCGCCCAGTCTCACTTTAGGCGACTTTGTGAAGATTTCCACACGGGCTGGTACATATCCTCAGTGTTAATATTTAAAGTAAAAATTTTGTTATAACTGCTGTAGATTACTAATAAAAGTATATAAATGAAAAATCGATTATTTGTAATGAATCCCATCATTGGAAAATACTTGTTTAAGTTGAGGACTTTAAAGTTCAAATCTAAAAAAATTAAGAAAAATTTTTGTAAAAGTAACTCAACAACAATTTTTTTAATAGAAAAACAAATTTAGGCAACATAAAATTATCATTTTAATGTTTTCCAAAGTTCTAAGGTGTGAAATTATGCTTTAAATAATAAATTAAAAATAATAAAGTGGATTGCATTAAATGGAATTAAAGTATTATTCCATTGTTATTACACTACTTACAAAAAATTACTGTTTATTGCAAAAGTATTTCGGTTTATTACAGAAGTATTCCGGTTTATTACAGAGTCCTTACAGGGTATTACATATAACCGTATCCAGTTAAAAATTCCTGTACAGGATCCTTAAAGGATACCTAGAGGTTCCTATATAGGATCCTTAAAGGTTCCCTGAGGGATCCTGTTAAGAATCCTACGCGGGATCCCCACTAGGATCCGTTGCAGGATATTGGAACAGGGATCCAGTACAAAATTTTGTACAGAAACCTGTGCAGGAACATTAGTTACTAAGGTTCCTTTGCAGATTCATGTACAAGAGAATGTATAAAAATATTTTCATGCTAAGGCTCCTATACAGGAACACTCGCATGATCCTCTAAAGGAAAATTTTACACTTTCTTTTCATATGCTAAGGAACATTTGTAGGAACCATAAGAGGATCCTACGTAGGATCGAAGGTGGTTTTTTTTAAATAAAATAAAAACAAATTTTTAATTTTGTGATGAATATATATTGATACATTTAATTTAAAAAAAATCTATTGCGCAGACGTAGGAGCCATAGGAACATATTGCGCAACAAGTAAAGTTGTTAAAATTCAGGAGCAAAGATTTCTGCTTGGGATCCTGTGGAGATTCATGTACAGGAATTTTTATTTCGAAATTTGTTTTAAATTTTTAGACAGAGGAACCTGCAAAAGAACCTTAAGTAACTAATGTTCCTGCACAGGTTCCTGTACAGGATCCCTGTTCTAATATCCTGCAATGGATCCTAGTGGGATCCTGCCTAGGATTCTTAACAGGATCCTACAGGGAACCTTTAAGGATCCTATGTAGGAACCTCTAGGGATCCTTTAAGGATTCTGTACAGGAATTTTTGGCTGAGTATAATAACGCATTATTGTAAGTTATGAAATTAATTTATGAACCCTGGCGGATTGGATATTTCTGCAGATTAACCCAGCTGTTTTAACATTCCGTTTCTTTGAAACATATTTATTAATTTACCAGAGTATAATGAAGAAAAAGTATTTTAAAAGATGGATTAAAGTTAGAAGAGTCAATTAATATAGGAAATGTAATAATTAAAAAATTATTTAGTAACTATAACATTAATTGTGCAATTGTAAATAAACTGTAAATTTGTCATTCTATGGGATTTCAAAATAAAAATTGGCTTAAACTAAATTTTTTAAAAGTATACCGTTAAGTTTAATTACCACAAATTAATATTTCTACAGTTTAGACATCAGGGAACAAGAATATGACAATAAAAATTTGGTTGTTTTAGGTTGATAATGTTTTTTTAGACGTTGAAATTGTCAATTTTTAATACTTTTCAACAAATTTCATTTCAAGAAAATGATGTAAATTAATTTTTGCTTTAAAGTCGAGGAATATTCTAATTTTTAAATGTTAACATTTATTATATAATCAGCAATCTTTAAAAAATAATAACATTGAAATTTTTTTTATTAAGTTTTTAAAACGTCGCATCGACTGACAGGGTCATTAGCGACGGCAATAAAATATATTTGTAATTTGTTACATTGGTTAAATTATTTTTTATTTGGTTATATTGTTAAATTAGTGATTGAGTTTATTAAAGTTTTCTATAGGAAAGTTAGAACTTTTTGGAAATAGTTACTGTCATTTAATAGAATTTTTAGTTGTTTTTTAATTTTGAGTCTGTTTCGTAGCTAGACATTGTTTTTGATTTCGTGTAATTTGGAAGATTTTGGAAAATTAATTACCTTTAATTTAAAAAAAAAAAATTAAAATCCATCCACTGGAACCGAAGATATTTACATTTAAATAAAACGATTTTTTTTCATAGTTAAAAATGGGTCGATCTCAATTTTTATGGCGCAGTAGTTTTTAGTTTTTAATTATATTTAGAAAATATAATATGGGAGTATTGGGTAAGTGTGATTATTTTTTATTGTTTTTTTTTGTAAAGTACTAAAAGAATAGAAACATTTGCGGATTTCAGGTCAAAAAATTGACTATTTTTAACATTGTAGTTATTGAAAATTTATTGTAGCATTATGTCTTATAACTCTATTCCCCATTGAAGAAAAGATAAAACTTTAATATAAATACAAACATAATAAATGCAAAAACAGACATTAAATGGAATTTTATTTCTTCATTATTGATTGCTTTCCGAAAGAAACAATTACCTTTAAAACAAATGCATGCGCAGAACATAAATAAAATTCCAATTCTTCCATAACCAGACATCGATCCCTTAACTAACATTCAATTTCGCGTGTGATACTAAATTATTTGCCGAAGAAAAATATTACAAAAAACTTCAAATTTATTAAGTTTAATGTGAGTAAATTCTTCATTTGCTTTTTAATCTTTTAGGCTCTTTATTTAAAAATAAACTACAAAAGTCCTTTTAATTCTTTTTAAAAATACATTAATCTGATATTTTTGTTTTTATATATATATATTGAAAAAAGGTTTAATCATTCATTCCCTTCATTTTTAATTATAATTTTTTATTTTCAGAATGTCGGTCAAAATGCAAATATGCACGTTTATTTGTTTAATTTTTATATGTTATGTAAAGGCAAATAATGAAAAAATTGCGTGGCAAGAAAGTTTATTAAATTATATAAAATATAAATCTGCTGTTTACGAAACAATTTTATTTATTGATGATAAACAAAATTTGCCTCTAATAATTGAAAGTTTTGTGAAATCAATTTCCAAAATACTACCCATGAAAATATTTAATCAGGAATTTAAAATTATTTCAAGAATTTCAAGTTTTAGTCCAGATTCAAGCCTTTTTATTTTAATCACAAATTTTGAACGAATTAACAATATTAAAGAATTCTCTAAATATATGTCATCAATTGCAGAAAATAAAAGACGTCCTAAAATTGTTATAATTATTTTTAAAATGATAAATTCTGTTCAAAATCAACAGTCAATATATCATAATTTGTTGGAAACAATGTGGTTGGATTTAATTTTAGATGTGACATTCGTTGAAGTACAGAATGTTGAATTTAAAAAGGAATATTTATTGAAAAAAATTGAAAAAGAAAATGCGATGCTATATTACTACAATCCATATTTAAATATTACAATTGAAAGCAATATAACTTTAAGTACTGTTTGGTTTCCTGAAAAAACAAAAGATTTAAAGGGCAATTTAATAAAAGTAGGTTTTCATAACTATCCTCCAGATGTTATGTTAAAATTGAACAAATCAGGGGATATTATTTCATTTTCTGGATTCAGTGCATTTAAAATGATTACTCTATCGGAAAATATGAATTTCAATTTGGAAAAATCATTTATCAATAACTGGGGAATCTTAAGTTGCAGAAAAAATAATATTATGGGTTTCTATCGTAATTTATTAAATAATGAAATACAAGCTGCAGCTGTTGAGCATCCTAGATATTCTCTTTGTGATAACAAATTTTATGAGTTTAGTAAAGGGACTAAAATAATTCCTCTTTCATTAGTTGTTCCAGAAGTTACACAAATTTCTCCACCAGTGCACAGTTGGAAAATACTAGATGGACTTGCGGTATTGGGATTAGTAGCATTTATGTGGATCGTTACGCATCTATTAAATTTTGACCTTCGTGAATGGCATGCAATATATATGATTCAATTAGTTCTTAATACAACAACACCACATAAGCCAACAAGAATAGAGGAAAGAATTGTATTTGCAGCAATGATGTGGGCTTGCTTTTTTCATTCAACTTACATATATATGTCATTCACTGAATTTGGTCTTAATAATGAAGAAAAATCTAAATATCAATCAGTTCAAGATGTATTACAATCTGGACTAGAGATAATAATTGACAATAATTATGCTGATATGTTGTATAATAATTCTGAAGGTGACATTAGAAAATTATTAAATAAGGCCATTAAAATGAGAATTACCGAAGAAGAATGCATAAATCAAATGATATTGAATAAGAATTTATCTTGTGTTTCTCGAGAAGATTATGCACGGTATTTTATAAATAGATTTCAAGATAAATGTGGCAAATCAATAATGAAAATATTAGATGAAACTTTATGGGTTTTTGTTAGTAGTATATATATGTCTCCAGGTTCACCATATGTAAAACGATTTGATACACTAATACAAAGATATATTGAAACTGGAATGGGAAAAAAATGGCAGCAAATACCTTCAAATTCTTCAGACGTTATAAATGAAGAAGATTTCTGCACTTCAAATAAAACAAAACAAGGTCAACAATTAAATAATTTGCTTATTATTCTTGCTTTTGGATACATTACATGTTCTACTGTATTTGTTGCTGAACTATTAATGGTTGAATTGTTAAAGAAATTTAAAAATAATCGATTTCTTTTGTTTGTAAGTAAAATATTTCATTAGAAAATGTAGTAAATTTTGAAATTTTAATCTCTATAAATAAAAATAGATATTTTAAATATCTGGATGTAATGATTTAATATAACACTTTACAGAATTTTTTTTTTATTTTAATATGAAATTTCATGTACAATATTCTTTGACTTACTTTAGATTTTTAATATATTACCCAGCATTTGCTGTAATTGAAACATAATTTCTAATCCAAGTAAGATATGAATATACATTAACATATATTCCTGGAACATTTAGTGTTCCACAGCCAACTCCCCATGCTGTTAAACCGACAACTTGATACTGACCTGAAACTACTTCGCAAACAAGGGCTCCTCCACCATCTCCCTAAAACAAAATTAATATAAATATAAAATACCAAATTGTTATTCTTACGTATCATAAAGAGTGAATATTCAATTCAATATTAAATTAAAAATATGAATTAAGAATTTATCACTAGGTCGTATTTTAAATAATAACAAAGATATCGATTTAGGATTCTCGGAATAATTTGTATTATGTCATTAATAATTCTATTACAGTGCAAGCATCTCTTCCAGGTTCGCCTCCAGCACATATGAAGCTAGTTCTATCTAAGTTGTAAAAAACTCCAAGTCTTGTATTTCGCAATCTAGTTTCACACGCTAATGGTGCAACAATTGGAACTTCAACTTCTCTTAGTGGATTTTGATATTGACCATTATTATAAGAACTTACTCCCCATCCAGCTGTAAAGCACCTACAAACAAATAGGTTTTATTATTTAATAAATAAAAATTTCAGGGGCAATATAACACTTGTTGGAATCACAAGTGTGAGTATAATTTTAATTTAACTATATTGTTAATCATTTAGGAGAAAGAAAATATTTGCTTGGAGAAACCCTTGACCAATGTCAATCATAACATTACAAACGAAATTTCTAATAAGATTTTCAATTTTCACAATAGCTCGTCCCAATAAAGTTCTTCAGCATTAGCTGAAATAGAAGGTCTTTTTTTTATTCATCCTATAACATTTTTGATTTCAACCAATGTGACGGGAGAATATTTTTTTAACATCCCTGATAAAAATTCCGAACTGTTTCCGAATTTGGAATTACTCCGGAATTAGTCCGTCTAAATCTGAAATCTTCCCGATTTGGGTAAGCATCAGTAAATCCGGAATTAATCAGATCTAATTCGAAGTTAGTTCGATCAAACGTAACTAGTGAATGGAGATTCTAGATTTACTGATTACACAGGCCGGATTAATTTCGGATTCAGTAGAAGTCATTTTGAATTTATTAGTTGTGTATGAGATCCAATTAATTTCGGATAAGATCGTATTAATTCCGGATTACCTAGTCCCACAAATAATACTAATTTCGGACTTAACTGGACTAATTCCGGATAATAGAAACCCGACTCTAATGCGGACTGTTTCGAATAAATTCCACATTCCAAAATATTAACTAAACTAGCAGACGACAAAGTCACACCGATCTCGTGCCTTGCTCACATCTGCACCATAATTATAATAATTACATGTAATTGAAGATTTTTGTGTCTGTAATTAGAGAATATTTCGAGAAATCGCTATGTATATTTTACTATTGTTGTTTTGTGAGCTAAACATTCTTTTGGATTATTTATTGAGATCGCCGCGCCGATAATCAAAATTGTATTCTGGTAAATTTGATTAGTCATATTATTTTCTCGCTTATAAATGTTCGTCTCGCAATCTTTTCTTTCATTTTCCCATCCTTCACTGTAATTATGAAGATCTCTTAATTTATATTTCTCCCGCGAGTCGAACCTGTTTTCTATTTATTAAATAAATTTAATAAAATTATTAAAATCACGCGCAAGGTTGTCACAACATCTTAATCTGAAATGATTCCGAAAAAATCCAAAAGTTATATGTACAAAATCGTCATTGTTGTGGACTAATATCAGATTTTTAACATTCCAAATTTTCAATTAAGATTTTAGATCTGACTAAATCCGGATTCGTTACACAAAGATTGCCGATTAATTCGGACTCTTTTCTAATTAAGATTTTTTTTTAGACTGCGACTGCTGATTTTGTACATATTGATTTCGAATTTTTCGGGTCTCATTTCGGATTAAGATTTTTTACCAGAATTAATAAGGATTATTGTGGACTAATACCGGATTTTCCACATAAAGATTTCAGATCATTACTTTGTGATGACCGTTAGAATAAAAATTACTGAGAGACAAAAAAAATCAATAACGAAACGTATAGGTAAAAAGCGCGGACGATGGAGAAAGGCCCCACTGCACGGAGCGAAAAGTTGCGCGCCAACGACCGAGAACCGACTTAGCGCTGCGCAACCCAAGAAATTTCCCCCACCAGGCGCTCAGACCTCAGAGTTCCCCCACCGCTTCTCAGCCGGTCGGACCGATATAAAAGCAGCACGTCCGACAACAAGAGCTCAGAACTGAGTTTGACTCAGGACGAAGAGTTTCACTCTTCGAGCATCCTCTATATCCTCTATATTGAGTTTTACTCGGTAGAGAATCGAAAGAGAGTTTTACTCTCCCACGTAAAAAAAGGGTTTTATCCTTTTTTAAATAGACTCCAGGAATTTGTTTTATTGTTCTTGAATCTCGAGTATCACTCTTGATTCCTTCACCCAGAGTTTTACTCTGCCATCGGCGAACGACAGGTGGATCAGCCGAACCAGTGGAGATTGCAAGGAGCATCGTTGGGGTGATCGTCCATTTTCGAAAGCTTCCCTCTGACCTTAATACAATCTCCGGTGATATTACGACTCGCGTTATTTCGTTTTCGTTTCTTTTCATTATTTAAATTCCGCGGATGAGCGAATTATTCTCGTTACTAATCGATCTATCATATGTTCTATTATTATTCGTAAGCCTTTTCTTTTTATTGTGTCTAGCGGCGTTAATTTATCTTTTCACATTTGTTAAGGAGACTGAGCGTTATTGTATGTAATTCGATTCCGAACAATTAATGTTCCGTGCGCTGATTCCGTCATTATTATATTCTTGTCCTTTTCTAAAATATAGTTGTCTATAATTAATTAGTCAAATTTATTGTTTTATTTATCGAATCCTGATTCCGACGAACTTTTCCAACAAAATTACAATTACAAACGTTACAACTGACTTATGTTAGATTCAGTTTATTGACATTACTTAATCCGGATTGTTGCATACTGTTTGCGGATAGTGTACGTACAAATTCTGGACTCATTTTATATTGTTTTTTGATCTAACTAAAATCAAATAATTCCAGGCTATTCGCTGATTTAATTTATGTCAATTTCGGACTGTTCTCGACTGACCTCGGATTTACGGAGACTGTCTAAACAAAATCGAAAGTGACAAGATTGCCTTTACCGACAAGGGTATCAAGGCAGTCAAATTTGTGAATAAGGTGCAGTTGGTGGATCGAAGGATGACTCATGAAATCCGCAATTTAAATTGACTTATCCAGGTAGAACATGTCCAACAAACAATGTCAAAAGAATTCGAGAAGCTAGGAAGCAGAAAGCTAACGGTTTTAGGACTCAACTGCCGAGGTTGCACAATTAAATACAATGGACATGTAATTTCCCATTTAAATTGAAATACTTAAAAAATAATGTAGAATTAATATCTCATGAGATTCGAGATGGGTGAGTACTTTTGGGACTTAAAGTCTGTAGGATATCCTAAATATTTTGATCCTATGAGGATATTGTTTAAACGTTGTTTTAATAAAGCGGTTTTAAAATCAATTTTTTTAAATAAATTAATTAGAACCTTGTGCCAGCAGCAGGAATAGTGGTCGGAAGACATGCAGTATTAATACTAACATAATTTGAAAACGGAATAGCTCTATCAAGTTGAATAATAGCGATGTCATTTTGAAGAGTATTTGGATTAAAATATGTTTGTATATCTGTGAACAGAGGATAAGCTTCAAAGTATGGGTAAGTTGAGGCCGATAATGTCCAAAGACCAAGTCTAACTCTGAAGTTATTATTTCTGAAAAAGAAAATTTTTTTATAATTAATAGTTCTTAATCTTCCATCTGCTTACATTTATGTTGCGAAAGCTTATTTTGTTCTGGTACCATTTTCATTAAAATCAACGAGTGTTACTTCTGTAGGTACACTTGAAAAAATACTTATTTATATAAACTAAATAATAATTATTTGCTTACTTACAAGTTGTAGACTTTGTGTGCTGCTGTTAGAATGTGAGTTGAAGTAATTATAACTCCTGCGCCGATGTATTGGTCACTTAGACGATCAAATATTGCAGCTTGCCATGGAAAACTTCCATATGGTGCTACATCACCAACTCCACTTGTTATTGCCACTTTTCTTCTTCCGCACACAGGATTAGTTGTCTGTGGTATTCCCGAACAGCACAGTACATAATTAGTTGGACATGATTCAGGACTTAATGGTCCCTTTAACATAATTAATTATAAAATTAATATTATTACAGACTTTTATATTTATTATAATTTTAACTAAAGTTAAAGTATGGATTAAAACTTGAAATTATCTAAAGGCGCATTCAGACCTTTCGGCTGCCTGCCTGCCTGCTGTAGTTACCATGGTAACATGATAAGAGTGAGTGAAGCAGAAAATTTAAATTTTTCGTCTGTTTCACTCACTCCCATTATGTTACCATGGCAACTGCAGCAGGCAGGCAGGCAGCCGAGAGGTCTGAATGCGCCTTAAGATAAACAATTTTACTCACTGTATTCACAATACGAATATTAAAGTTGTCTCTTCCCGGTACTAGTGGAAATCCAGTACAAGAAGAAGTCAAAGTACAATAACATTGGTTTCCTGTATTGATAATTTGTCTACCATCATTTATAATATAAGATGCTGCAAAAATAAAATAATTTTATTGTAACTCCCATCACGTCTCTGTAACGATTTGTTACATTTTATTTAATTAATATTATAGTTGCGTTGCTGTAACAGTACTGTTTAATCAATAATTCATTCGCGACAATACAAAGATTTTTCTAACAAATTCTGTATTTCTAAAAGATACCAAATAAGGTGGAATACATTTCTGATCTTATAAATCTGTGGTTGAAAGGCATAACAGCATAACTGACATTTTTATCAAATTTGAGATAACACCAGATTTTATAACATTTAGTAATGCTTTTCAAAGTTTTATAAATAAAAAATCATTTAAGTAACTATTTATGTAGAAAATGGTGATAATCCTAATCGCATAACTGCAGTTTTGGCAATGAAAGACAGGCATAATAGCATAACTGCATTCATAATGAAAAAACAATTGACGCAATCTTTAAAATAAAATTAATATTTTAGGATAAAAATATTATTTATTTTATATATTATAATAAAATGTTTATTAAAAAAATTTCGTATGCAAACTTTGTTTATTTGTAATTAAATTTTCATTGTTTAATTGATACTTACTAGATTTTAGTTACATTTTGGGGTTATTTTTCTGTTTTAAAAATTCAAAAGTACTTGAAATATTACTTTCAATAACAAAATAATAAAATTCAAAAATAATGTAATATAGTTTCTTTCGCTCCAATAAATTAAAAATTGAATTAAAAACTAAAAAGTAAAATTAATTAGAAAAAATATTAAATATGTAAAATTACTGAAAATAAAACCTAACTAATTTCAGATAAATTTGTTTCCTAGTCAGATTCATACGTCTCAATTAAATACATTTTGACATTAAATGATAAAAAATAATTACATATGAAATTCAAAATAGTCTGAAGTTGGTTACATATTTAAACTTATACGGTGTAAACGCATAACTGCAAAAAAACTTACAATAAGACTCGAAATATATTAAATTTTATATTAATTCGTGCGTTTTATTATATTCACTAAACATATTTTAAAAATACGTTAAATAATGAGACTAAATATCAAATACAAATCAATCATCCCGTGTTTTCTCTTACGCTATTGTAATGAGGTAATATATTCATTCACTTCGAAAGGAAATTCACTCTAATTTATGATGTTTAGGTGGTCATTCTTTGTAAGAGGGTGGAAAAGATGCAACCAACAGCTAAGAATTCTTTCTTCCTCTTTGTGAAAATCCTGTATAAAAAGAGTCATAAACGCTAGGAGAATCAAATCCGAAGTAGTCACCAAAGCTGCTACATTAGTTCTGAATTTGTCACCAAAGCCACTACATTTAGTTCTAAATCCGTAGCCAAATCTGCTACATCTCTAATCTTATGAAGGAGAAACAACATAAGACTAGACTATTAGTCTAGTCCCGACAACTATCCAGACAAAATCATAAAACTTGAACATTATTTAGGTGTGTTACCCAACTGCCTATTATCTTAAGTTTTAAAGTGCAGTTTCGTAAGAATTTAATCTAAAAAGATCTATGTAAAGAATGAAAATTTAATTTGAATTATTAATGTTAAATTGTTGATAAAATTGTGTTTAAATATTTTTGAGGCTTCAAACAAAAAAATAGCCAGGAGAAGGGAAAGAAGAAGGAAATTAACAACAGAATATTTCAAAGTTTTCATTTTAAATTTGTACGTGAATAAAATTTATGCAAAAATAAAAAAGATAAAGAATCTGTTTGTTCATTTAATACAAGCTATTTAAAATATTTATCAATATTTCTATTTTATTTCTAAATTCTTTTCTTGGTGTTTAAATTTTATTCTTGTTTTAGTGCAATATTTTCATTTTTAGGTTACAAAGACTGTTCATCAAGGATAACTTTTTCTCTTTTATTTAGAATTTAACAAATCAAATCTAAATATAAATTAAACATCAATTTAAATAGGCATCAAAACCTACCCTAGTAGAAATTTGTCATGGAAGCACTAGAAATACTCTAGTAACTGGCCAGTTTTACTCGTGGACGCTGATTCTAGACAAACTAGACAATTACTATAAAGTTACTTGACCAACAGTCTTAGAAAACATTCAAGTTGAACTTGAAATTGGCTAGATTCAATTTTTGTCCAGTTGCTTGAATGGCACTGTCTAGTGTCTCTAGAAATTATACTTTCGTCTTCTTTCGTGACAGCAGCGCTGCAGTACATGTCTAATAACTAGACAAAAAAGTGCTAGAAATCTGTGTTCATGTAACTACTATATTATTTCATTATTTTCTTAAATAATAAAATTGTAATTAATTCAGGGAAATATAAATTAACATAATTTATTATTTTAATATAATAAATAAATAAAATCTATATTCACATGTTTTCTGAATATATTAGTATGTTTTTCTTTTTTATAAATTAAATTATTCTATTTTCTATTATTGGCATTTTGTATATTGTTCCATTTATATATCATATATTTTTTTATTAAGAAAGTTTATTCTCAATTGATATTGAAAAAAATGTGTAATTTAGAAAACCTAACCTATAAATGCTATTCTTTGATATTAAAAAACAATAAAAATTACTGTTTTCGTTGAGTTTTTCACTTAGAAAACAATAAATAATAATTTTCATAGTAATTATTTTTAAAAAATGTCAAAATGCAATAAAAAAAATATGCCTTGTTACATAGATAGGTTATATTTTATTTCTCTTTTTATTTTTTTAAATTAAAATGTTTTTATGTCTTAAATTTTTAAAATCTTTTTAAATAAAATATATAATTTTAATAATAGGTGGATTAATAGCTAAATTAAAAAAAATTTTTAATTATAAAATATTAAAATTAAGTTGTAAAAAATTAAATTTAAATTTTTAGAAAATTTAAAATATCTATTGTTTAATACATATGGTTTAATGAAATTTGTGCTGATTAAAATTGTTATTTCAAGTGTAAATTTATTTTTCAGTAAATTATAAAAAATTAAAATTCTAAAATATGTATTTTGGCAGATAATAGTAAAAATATTTATATAAAGCATGCAATTTCTAGCTACAGCACTGAACTAAAATATATCTGCTATATTTTTCGTTTGATGGATATCGTTAGTAAAAGCGGACCCGTGTTCGCTCCCCGTTACCCCCGAGATTTTTCGTTGAAATTGCGTTCTCTTCGTGTTTAAAAGTTGATAATAATAATTGTATAATAAATTAGTAATACAAAAATATTTGTTTCAGTCGTCATTACAGTGCAATCAAAAAGTGGATGTTTCAGTGTACCAGAAAATATTTGTGATCCTTTTACACAAGTAAAAATTTTTTTTTTAATTAAAAATTAAACAGTATTGACAAATATTATGCTTTTAACAATTTACTATACATTATATTTTCTTCAAATAATTTAGATTATAATTTAGAAAAATTAATGTAATTATATAATTTATTATTGCATAATTAGTTTCTTACAGTAAATCTTAATATTAGACAAATTTTGAGAATATTTAAAAGAAATAATTTGTCTAGTTTTTCTAACGGACCGTTGATCAGAATTTATCAAGTTGGGCTAGACAATAACTAGACGAAAAAAGCGTGACATTACATTCGAGTAATTAGCCAGTTGCACCCTGGCGGATTTGATTTACCTAAATTCGACCCAGCTGGGGCGAATCTAAGTCGAATTTAGGTAATTATAAAAAAAAAAGCTTTAAATTGACGAAAATTTATAAAAATTAGTATTGTGAGGTTAAATGAAAATTTATAGAGTTAATTTTTGTAAGAATTTTAATTATTAACGTGATAAATAATAAATAATCACTTGATATGTGCAAGTGGTAACTGTAGATTTTAACTCGTTGTCAGTTTTCATAATATTTTCAAGAAATTAGTGTAAAATGTGTGAAAAAATAATTTATATTTAATAGAAATTGCAAATTTTATTAAATTATTTTATTATTTATCGAGCACAGTTTAAAATAATTGTAATTTAATTTAAAAAAAAAAGTTTTCTTAAAAGTGATAAGAACTCTACTATACCGACAGCAAGAGGATATTTTCAGGTAAGTAAAGTTATTGTAGCGTGTAGTTTTGTTGTAAATAAAAGATGTCGCTTTATGTTCTATAGTGATCAGACAGGAACATCGAATCCACGGATCGAATCTCATGATCAAATATTCATCAATATTCATCTCTGTTCTATCTTATATCTAATCTATAGAACATAAAGCGACATCTTGTAGTCAAAACAAAACTACACGCTACAATAACTTTACTTACCTGAAAATATCCTCTTGCTGTCGGTATAGTAGAGTTCTTATCACTTTTAAGAAAACTTTTTTTTTAAAATTAAATTGCAATTATTTTAAACTGTGCTCGATAAATAATAAAATAATTTAATAAAATTTGCAATTTCTATTAAATATAAATTATTTTTTCACACATTTTACACTAATTTCTTGAAAATATTATGAAAACTGACAACGAGTTAAAATCTACAGTTACCACTTGCACATATCAAGTGATTATTTATTATTTATCACGTTAATAATTAAAATTCTTACAAAAATTAACTCTATAAATTTTCATTTAACCTCACAATACTAATTTTTATAAATTTTCATCAATTTAAAGCTTTTTTTTGATAATTACCTAAATTCGACTTAGATTCGCCCCAGCTGAGTCGAATTTAGGTAAATCAAATCCGTCAGGGCAGTGTTAAGTTACTAGACAGCTTCTAGCGCAACTGTCCAGTGCCACGATAATTACTGGGACAAATTTCTACTAGGGTATAGGTTAATATTTCGAGTTAATTACTATTTAATGTATGTTAATTAAATGTAATAAATTATGTTTATATTAAAATGCTATTTTTTCTATTCTTATTGGCATATGGGTTATAAGAAATCAAAAACATAATCTAAAATATCATCGTATTTGACATTATTAATTATTAAAAAGAATTGAGAATTGAATATTGAGATAAAAAATGAAAAAGGGCAAATTTAAAAATATATCCTATCCCTGGCGGATTCGATTTGCGTAATGTCTACTTAACTAAGTAGACTTTAGGTAGACATTAGGTAAACATGTAAAAAAACGTATAGAAAAGCTATTAATCGACTTATTATGATAAAAAAAAAGTTGATAAAACGGTAAATGAATGTTTATAGAGTAAATTCGTACAAAATTTGTAATTAATAAAGCATTAAATAATTAATAATGAATGGAAATGTGCGCGAGGTACCTGATCAGTTCAGCTGTACAATTATTTTCGTGCTATTTTCATGAAAAGAATATAAATTAACGGCAAAAACAATTGATATTTATAAAAAAGTGTAAAATTGATTTAATTTGAGTGTTTGCAATACGAATTATTAAATAATAATTAAGTTTTTATCAAATGTGAATAGTGTTGTGAAAACCTGTGAAAACTAATGAGTTACTACATTACCGATCGCATATGATAATAAAAAGTTCTCGATGAGTGTAACAAAAAATCTGCAATCATGTCCGTAATTTTGGACGAGAAACAATTATGAAATCAATAATTATTTGTATAACTTTATTCTGCATTTTAAAATTCACTTTTTATTTTCTTTCAAAGCAAAAGCTTGGAAGAAAACATGCTCGCACTGTATTGTAAAAACTGGTGGCGCCATCTCTGGCAATCTCGGAAATTATGTACTTGGTTAAATTGCAGCTTTTTTGTTACACTCATCGAGAACTTTTTATTATCATATGCGATCGGTATAGTAGTAACTCATTAGTTTTCACAGGTTTTCACAACACTATTCACATTTGATAAAAACTTAATTATTATTTAATAATTCGTATTGCAAACACTCAAATTAAATCAATTTTACACTTTTTTATAAATATCAATTGTTTTTGCAGTTAATTTATATTCTTTTCATGAAAATAGCACGAAAATAATTGTACAGCTGAACTGATCAGGTACCTCGCGCACATTTCCATTCATTATTAATTATTTAATGCTTTATTAATTACAAATTTTGTACGAATTTACTCTATAAACATTCATTTATCCTTTTATCAACTTTTTTTTATCATAATAAGTCGATTAATAGCTTTTCTATACGTTTTTTTACATGTTTACCTAATGTCTACCTAAAGTCCACTTAGTTAAGTAGACATTACGCAAATCGAATCCGCCAGGGTATCTAATGTCTTTTTTAAACACGGCAGTAAGGCAGGTTGCATATTTCTAAAGTTAAAATATAAATCTTTATAAATTTTAACATTAAATTGGGGATGTACAGTGGAAAATTTCAACGATTTAGCTGACTCAAAATCCATTTTGTAAAGTTTATTATTTAAAAAAAAAACAAAAACACATAGAAAATCTTGGATAGCTCATTAACAAGATGTGACCTATAAGCTTTGCGCAGACGCGTGAAGATGATGAATTGTATGAATCAAATTCGTTGTTGTTTGTCATGGTTTTGTTTACTCATTTTAAGTTTAAATAATTCTGTAACTAATAATTATTTATATAATTCAATCATGACCACTTTTAAAACAGGTAAGTGAGCATTAAATCAATATTTTTCTTTTATTATAAAATAAATTTTAACTCATGTAATTTAGGTTTTAGTTTGTAAGGTTATTTCATAAATACTTTATGCGAACTCTGCCATATAAAAGTGTTTTTGCTTATATTATGTTTCCCGGTAAGTCCCGGGCATTATTTTTGTTTTGATAGACAGAGTATCATCTTCTTTAATCTATGCAATTTGAAATAACCGCTAATTTTTAAGTTTTGCTACTTCTTGTATGACTCCTAAATCATAAAAATTATGCAATTTTCGTAAATTTAAAAAAATAGAACGCTATATTTGAATTGTTTAAAATTAACACTTGATTTGTAATCAAGGCCACCAAAAACACCCCTGAGTAACGAGTTACAAGTAAATACTATTAAATTTAAAAAAGTTCGGTCATTTTGAATTTTTAAAATCTAACACTGGATTCGTGTTCAGCGTCCCTAAAACCCCTAAGCAAAATTTTTTAAACGAATTTAATATATTTTTCAAAAATGAGTCCCCAATATAGGATCCGCTATTTTGAATTTTTTTATAACAGACTACAAATTCATGAAAAGCGACCCCAAAACTATAAGTACACACCTTCAGATTATATAAAAATCATCAACTTAATTTTGGCCAGCTAAATCGTTGACATACACCAATGTATGGGATGATTCATATAGTCAAAGAATCTTACTGTATATAAAAGTTTTAAGAGATTTCAATAAATTGTATTAAAAAAAATTCTTGAAAATATGTGTAAAAGACCCAAACTGACTAATTAAAAAGAATTCCAATTTAACCGAATTTTAATTTATTTTAATATTTAATTCTCAATTCAACAGAATTTTAAGTGATGCTAATTTCAAAATTTCTAATTTATCGAATCTTCATTTCTTTGAATTTTTATTTGCACGAATTTCTTAAAAAGACGAATCTTTATTTGTTTGACATTGAAAATTGATGATTATAAAATCATCAGAAAAATTTTAGTGTGATTTTTAAAAATTACCAATCTTACAAATAAAAATTTGCACAAATTAAGATTCAGGTGAATTTGAAATTTTAGCATTTAAAAATTCAAAGCACTTAAAATTCTATTAAATGAGAATTCTACTAAATTAAAATTCGAATTCTCTTAGATAAAAAAATTATGCAAAGAGAATTTTGGTATGAAATAAAAATACTACTTAAATAAAAATTTGGAACATAAAAATTTGATAAAGTAAAAAGAGATGAGAAAACAAACATCTCAGACGTTATGATTTTATATTTTTTTTTATTAAATTATATCAGTTTTAATTTATTTAATTAAAATTTAATTTGTTTAATTTAACATATAATTTTTTTGTTTAAATATTTAAAAAATTATTTATCACGTACATAAATCGTTTACACTTTGAGATCCAAAAATTGGTGGTCCTTGAAGATTTAGGTCTTGTGATCCAAAAATTGGTGGAATCTGACCAATAACACTCTGACAATGAAAATACATTAACAATACAAGTACATAATAGTTCATTTTAGGGATATAGTAAAATATATTTAAAATTTGAAAAACAAATATTCTTTTAACACGTTTGTATGCTTTTAAATTTGAAATTAGCCATCATCTTATATTTATTTTCAAACATATGCTAAACATGAAATTATGAATAGATATATATCTATGTATAATCTACCTTTTCTTTTATTTTTATTTTTTAATTTAAACATATGACATTGTCTCGAATTATGAGCCGCGACAAGAATAATGTTTGACCTTCCTTACCATCAAATTATTTTTCTAACACAATGTAACGTATATTGAAGAATAGGTAAAAAAAGGAAAATTACTTCCTATTGTAATTAAATTTTCTCATATCTGTGCGTCACTCTTATCGTCTCTGTGTGGATTTCCCAGAATACAATTTCATGATTTAGTAGTCTCCATGCAACAGACTACCGTAGAGAATAAATAATTGTGTCCATAGAATTTTTGATGAATAAAAAAAAACATCTTCAAATGGAAAGCATAAATGTAATTAAAAATTTTTTATATCCTCGAATCATTTAATTATATTTTATCTAAAGTCGTTGTTTAAAAAAAATTATAATATTTCACAAATGTCATTTTGAATTTTCGGAATAAAAATAATTATTTTAATTTTTTATTAATTCTTGTAATATACGAAAAATATAATTTATTATAACATTAATACAATTTTATTTTGAAAATTTGCAATTATCTCTGTTGTAAATATCTGGTGTGAATCTTGTTAGAATAATGGCTTGTAAAATTCAAAATGAATAAGATCACATTATATTGTATTAGATCTATGTACTTTGGAACGCTTTAATGTTCCATAAATACTTAATTATATATCAGTCACTTGTCTGAAAAATATCCCGTGAATATTATAATTGCATGAGGAATAATAATTTTGATAAACTCTGTTGACATTCATTAAATACTGACTATTAAAAAACTATTAAAATAAAAATGGATATTGTTTTTATTTTATTAGGTAATTATTTTTATTTATTATTTTTATTAATTAATTATTTTTATCAATTAAAATAAAAAATTAAGAAAATACTGTCTATTGAAAAGTATATTAAAATAAAAATGTCAAAAATCGATTTCTGTTATATTCAAAAAATTTTACAAATTTTATTTATGCCGCAATTAAAGAAAATTTACATCTTTGAGTATCATCAAAAGGTTTTGAAGACAAAAAGTTTTTAGCTTTAATTTTAATTAATAAATCACAAATTACAATTTTGGTTCATAGTCAGTTTATTATCTATTCGAACTATTATTGAAAAATTTAATTTGTAAATTATTACACAGGACCACAAAAATTTTTTTTGGAAAATATACATTGACAGGACTATGTGTTCTATACGTATTTTGACGTGCTGAATTCAAATCTGGGCCTACTTTTGACCCAGCACGTCACAGTTTCGAGATAAGTGAAAAAATACACCAAAAAATCAATTTTTTTAATAATTATCGAACTTTTATAATGGGACGTATTTCGCTGATATTATTCTTCATATGACAGTTGAAAATATCATAATTATTTGTAAGATTGACTCTTAATTGTTCCCTAAATATGTGAATGAAATTTAAAACCGTTAAATAATTAAGTAAAATGTAATTAAATGTATATATATTAAAAATATCCTTTCTATCATCATTTCTCTATTTTTGTAAATTAGTAGAAAAAAACAAGTTAATTTTTAAGGTTTGGTTATCCAGTGCTAGTTTCAGAAGTTATAAAAAATTCAATTTATTTTTGACGTGAAAATGTCTTGTAAAAACAGTCCGAACGTTTTTTGTATTATTTGTGGGGAATTTGTTGTTTCAAAGAACAGGAGATCATTTTCTGAATGTGCAAAAGAAATGTATCATGAATGTTACAATATTTCAATGACTAATTTGGATAATGACTGGACTCCAAATATTACGTGTTGTTGGTGTTTTGCTGATCTCCGACAATGGAAAAATGATGATAGAAAGAAGGTACGGTTTTATTCTCCAATGATTTGGCGTCAACCTGAAAATCATGAAGTGGATTGTTATTTTTGTCTCTCAAAAGTTATTGGTTACAACAGTAAAAATATGCATTTGATTAAATACCCCCAAGTAAAATCAGTGACATTCCCTGTTGCTTTTAATGATATTGAAAAAAACAATCTTCTTCCCAATGAATCTGAAACTTCACATTTATCCACCATTGAAAAGTCAGTATCAGAAAATTTTGAAGTTAATGACGAAAAGTTTGAAGTTATTGGACATGCAGATTAAGATGCAGATACTGAAGAATCTGACAATGAGACAACAGATTTTTCAATTGAAACCGAAAGTGATTCTGACTTTGATGTAAAAAATGAGCAAACTTCATTTAATCAATTGGAATTAAATGATCTCGTTCGTGATCTGGGCCTTTCTAAGGAAAGTTCCGAACTTCTCGCCTCTAGGTTAAAAGAAAAGAATGCTCTTGCTCCTAAAATTAAAATCACTTTTTATCGGAATAGAGACATTTCTTTCAGGGCTTTTTTTTCTCGAGAAAATTCTTTAGTTTATTGTAATAATGTTGAGGGACTCATAAACACATTTGGAAGTTATTCTTATAAACCTTCTGATTGGCGACTTTTTCTTGACTCATCAACTACAAGTTTTAAAGCAGTCTTATTGCATAATGGAAACATTTACGCTCCTATTCCCTTTGCTCATTCCGTGGTTTTGAAAGAAGAATATAAAAATGTAAAATTTGTACTTGAAAAGCTGCAATATGATCAACAGAAATGGCAGGTCTGTTGTGATTTGAAGATGATTACAATTCTATTAGGGCAACAAAGTGGTTTCACCAAGTACCCTTGCTTTATATGCGAATGGGACAGTCGTGATCGGAAACAACACTATATTAAAAAAGATTGGCCTGTGAGAATTGCTTTGTTACCAGGGACGAAAAATGTTTTACTTCAACCCTTAATCGACCCGTCAATGGTGATACCTCCTCCCTTGCATATCAAGCTGGGTTTAGTTAAACAATTTATTAAAGGTCTGAAGCTGAACGTCAGTGAAGCCTTTCAATACCTGTTTATTAAGTTTCCAAAGCTATCTGATCCAAAAATAAAGGAAGGTGTGCTGAATGGTCCGCAAATAAGAGCACTTCTTAAAGACTATGAATTTGAACGAAAAATGAAAGAAAACGAGAAAGCTGCATGGATTAGTCTAAAAAATGTAATTACCAAATTTTTAGGGAATAAGAAAGATCCGGATTACAAAAACATCGTCGAAGAGATGTTAAAGAACTTCAAAAATTTAGGATGTCTGATGAATTTAAAAATGCACTTCTTGCATTCGCACATTGACAAATTTCCTGAAAATTTAGGAGACTTCAGTGAAGAACAGGGCGAGAGATTTCATCAGGATATTAAAGATATGGAAAGGCGATATCAAGGAGCGTGGAATGAAAATATGATGTCAGATTACTGTTGGTGTTTGAATCGCGACACGGCAGTGAAACATAAAAGGAAGTCAATTCGAAGGTCATTTGAAAACAAAAAAACTCGAAATTTAAAAGCATTAGTAGAAGAAGAAGAAGAGAAGTGATCATTAATTAGATAGTTTCTTTGGTTCAATTTGGTAAGTTAAAATGTCAGGTTTTCCTTTTTAATAACAATATTTCTTATTTTATATTAAAAGATAAACCTAATACAGAAATCGTTGCTGATCTTTAAATGGTTTTTGAAGATAATAAAAATGACATGAATGCCATACAAACTTTTCTCGTTTAAAAACAAACATCTACGCTCTTTGAATATCGTGGAAAAAAGTGCTTTTTACTGATTTAATTGGTAAGTTTTACATTTTAAAAAAATTTACAGAACAAATAGGAGTAAATTCATACAAATATATATTATAAAATTTTCAACTGATCTGTGGAAAATTATCAGAGAAATACGTCCCTTTATAAAAGTTCAATAATTATAAAAAAAATTGATTTTTTGGTGTATTTTTTCATTTATCTCAAAACTGTGACGTGCTGGGTCAAAAGTAGGCCCAGATTTGAATTCAGCGCGTCAAAATACGTATAGAACACATAGTCCGGTCAATGTATATTTTCCAAAAAAAAATTTTGTGGTCCTGTGTTATTATATTATATAGTTTATTTGTTTTGAACTATACAAGTTCGTATAGAAAAGAATTACAAGTGAGCAGTAAAATTTAATTAAATTCACACTTATAATTTTCAATCATTTAATTATAAATTATTATTTCTTTTCAATGCGTTTATAATAAAATAGGTAATAGCTTTAACAATTTCTTAATGCGGATTATTTAAAAGGTAGATCCAATTATCTCTTCTTGTCCCAAAATTTACAATTGAACATAAATATTTATTTCTAATATCATTATTCCTAACACATTCTATCACAAGATGATACAATTCTTTTCCCTTCAAATCACACAGAGACATACACTATACCTAGTTTATACACCTTTTTTCATGTTTAATTCTCGTATTAAAATTTTTTATCAATCGAATCTATGCAATAACTTTCTTAAATAATAGAGGCATATATAATTTGTGAATTATTAATTATATTATTGCTCTGTTGTGAAAAAAAATATTATTTTTATTTTACAAATTAATTATTTATTATTTGAAATAATTAATAGTCTGAGTAATATCCATTTTCATTTGAGTATTGCTTTGATTCGTCATTTCCTTCTCCTGAAGAATATTGTTCATAACCACTATGTATGTTTGACAGTGGTTCACCTAGAAAAAGTAATAAATTATTTGTTAATAAATTTCTTTTTAAAAAATTGAGGCTAATAAGTCCGTAACATATATGAAATTAGTCCGTAATAATTCAATTCTAGGTCGATCAAAAAACTTAATCTAAAATGAATCCGGAGTTTCTATGTAATTTGGTATTAGTCATCAACAATATTATAGCGATCATAATCGTTTTTATTTTCTTTAATTAAATTGAATGTTTCGTTTTCTGTGAGCCTTAAATAGTTTTTACTCTATCATTATATTTGTTAATTCAAATTGAATCTCGCTCGCCCACTGGCGCGCATATGAACTAAAGTAGCAGACGACAAAACCACGCCGGAGACCTGTTGCCGAGAAGTCGTCAGAGAGTTTCGTCGTTTCGTTTCTTGATCACATACTGCACCATAATATAATTATTATATGTAATTGAAGATATTTATGTGTGTAATTAAAAAATATTTCAATAAATCGCTGTGTATATTTTACTATTGTTATTTTGTGCGCTAAACTTCCTTTTGGATTAATTATTAAGATCGCCGATAATAAAAATTGTATTCTGGTAAATTTGATCAGTCATATTATTTCCTCGCTTTTAATTGCTCGCACATAAATAGTCGTCTAGCAATCTTTTCTTTCATTTCCCCATCCTTGACTGTAATTATGATCTCTTAATTTATATTTCTCCCGCGAGTCAAATCCGTGTTTTCTCTTTAATAAATAAATTTAATAAAATTATTAAAATCACGCGCCAATGTTGTCACAACATATTAATCCGAACTGAGTCCGAAAAAATTCGGAAATTATATGTACATAATCATCATTGTTGTGGACTAATACCAAAATTTTTTACATAGATTTTCAATTAAGGTGTTACGCCACCCTGAAATTTTCAAAAAATTGATTTTTTTTGCTTAATTTCAAAATTTATACTCTAACGAATATTTTGAGATGTCTCCGAAGACAATGCCTCACTAATTACGGCTAGAAGCCGTCTAGCGCCTCCTTAACGACTTTCCATTTTCAGATCAGAGGAAATACTTTCCATTCTAGGAGAAGAGTATTATGGCCCAGGAATTGCTGATTAAATAGTAAGTTAAAAAATTTTCAAGTTATAATACACTAAAGTATATTTTTTTCTTCTTTTGCGTTTTTCTCGAAACCACATTTTTCGAGACGGTGTACACCATAACTCAAAAACAATTCAACCGATTGACTTGCAAATTAATATACATCTTCCTAAATAGATTTTCCACAGAGTGACGTGGGATTTTTTCGATTGAATAATTTGAAAATTTTTTATCCAATTTTTTATACGGTACTTTTAGCCCAAAAAAGTCAATTTTTGAAGTGCTTCCATTTGCGTAAAAAATTTTTTTTTTTTAATGGCTTCGTCACTCTGTTCAAAATTTGTCACTTTTTAAGAAAAATATTGTTTTACTTGTTTCAGACAAAAATTGAACTGCCAATCAGGTACACCATCAAGGAGTGCTCCGGAAAAATTGATCCACGCCAATACTTATATCTCAAAAAAATTCCTAAAAAACCATCCGATTTTCATGCGTTCAGGGTGGCGTAACCCCTTAAGATTTTGGACCTGACTAAATCCAGATTCGTTACACCCAGATTGCCGACTAATTCTGACTCCCTTTCTGATTCAGATTTTTGTTCAAACTGCGATTGCTAATTCCAAATTTTTCCAAACTCATTTCGGATTAGGATTTTTTTACCAGATTAAATAAGGATTATTGTGGACTAATACCGGATTTTCCACATAAAGATTTCAGATCATTACTGGAGTCATATCGGATTCAGTTTATTGACATTACCAAATCCGGATTGTTGCGTACTGTTTGCGAATAGTTTACATACAAATTTTGGATTATTCTCGACTTATTTTGGATTGATTTTTGATCTAATTAAAATCAAATAATTGCGGGCTATTTGCGGATTTATTTCATGTCAATTTCAGATTTATCTTTTCATCTAGACTAATTGCTGACAAATACGTATAATTTTCGGATTGTTTTTGTACAATTTCTACACTAATTCGGACTGATCTATCTGTATTTAATCTAGTTAGTCCGAAATTTTAAACAGGGATGTTACCGAAAATATCAATAAACTGAATGATATAAAGGAACAGTCTCATGGGATATCCATATAATATCCCAGTATTATCCTTTTGTTTTGTGGGAATGTAATATATTTTCTTATAGAATTAAATAACTAAAATTAATTTACCACTTTCTCCGTAGTGTTCACTGTCATCGCCTGAGTAATATTCACCGTCATCACCGTCTAAATAACTTTCACTGTCACCAATGTAATGTGATTCAATGCTGGTACCTGTAATTTGGTCGATAATGTAGTTAATTTTAAAAACACTGAATATTTAATTAAATTTGAATAATTATCAACTAATTAGTCATATTAAAAAATAAATATATAATAATTAACATTATTTTATCAATATAAACTATTTTTTCATTAGTTTACATGTATTTTCTCAAAATACTATAGAAAAACGATAAAATTTGGACCATTGCTGTTTTAATAAAAGTTTACTTCGTTTCGAAATCTAAATGATTTTCTCTTCAGGGTGTCTATCATAATTACAATAAATTGTCAAATAAACAAATACAATAAATAATAAAAATAAAATAAACTACAATAAAAATTAAATTTTAAATAATCTTACCAAATTAAAGCAAATATTAAGTTATAGATTTAATAGTTAATTGCGGTGTGAAATTAAATAAAAACCGAGATAAAAACAAAAATGAAATATAAATAACCCTAACATTGGACAGACATAGAGTTTGGAGTTGGAGCCTAAAGTTATAAATTTAATAAATTAAATTTACTATAAAAATTAATTAAATAAAATAAATTATTAATTTTAAATAATCGAAAAGGAAAATTAAAATTATAAATTACGTACCAATTAAATGAATCCATTTTTTAAAAACAAGTAATAAATAAACAAACATAGAAACAATAAATAATTAAATAAATAATCACAATAATTGATAAAATATAATAAAATCGATAAAAAAGTAAAATAAAATAAGTGTGCTGTTTACAACGTCAATTTTGAAACTGAACTCCAAATACTATCGACTCCTTACACTAAATTTGCATAAAATGCAATAAATGTCTTGATATTTTACAATTATTTATTTTTTATAATTGTTTATACTTTTGCATAACTGCAATTATTATTGTTTTTGTTACATGCAACATAACTTTATCATAGAAAAAAAAGATTTAAGGGGCATTACTTCGAAAACGTTGAATCTAGAGAGAAAAATTGTGAAAAAAAAGTGGTAATCTAAATAATCATCATGCTCCACAGGGTTAATGTTTTTTTTTCGAAAATGTTATATATGTGATCTATTATATTCATATTTTGCTGATACATTAATTTTAGAGTATTTTTTGTTTTGTAAACATTCCTTGAGCACATTGTTTTATCATACAAATTTCGTTTCCACTTCACTGCACAAAGAGAAATCTACTTCTTCTATTACATAAATATTTGCTTTATTTGCTAATAATGAATATTATTGAATGAATAATGAAAACTATCGTTTTCTATTAACTACATTAGTAGTAATAATAAATCATTAAAGCATATATAATTTTCTTAATTAATTCTATTCTTAAATTAGTTTATAATTTAAGTAAATTAAATGTTTGAAATCAAGTGAGGTAGATAAATTAATCAAGTGAAATTATTGAGTTAATACGAAAGAGAATTCTATTTTCTTATTAAATATTAATCATTGGATTATTTAAATTTACGTATCAAGATTCGCGGTAAAGAATCGACGCTAAGTAAAAAAAAGAAATCCACGAATATATTTTCTCAAAATATTGGAATTTTTCGACCAAAATTTTGGATATCTTGAAAAGTTCTTTACCGAATTCGTTCTATTTTTTTTCGTTTTATTTTCTTTGATACTATTATGTTTGTTTAAAACGTTATTTTTTAATTTTTTCGTTTTCTTTATTAACTTATAAAAATATTATTCGCTACGGACATGGCCTTGAACACATGCCGGATATGACTATCAGCGCTCCATGTGGCGAAATTAGGCAATTTTCGTTGGACAACGATAATGACTAGATTAATAGTAATCAATGTAAATAATATGAATGTTATAATAAAAACGGGGTTTGCTGCAATAAACCATAAAATTGAATTTCGCCCAGAAACAATTAAAAAAGGGAAGGCTTTAGCGATAATTCACGTTGTCAGGGTGAAAGAATTTAAGAGTTAATGGAATCAGTGAAGCAATTAAAGCAAGTGTGATTCGTCAAACGTCTGTCAATTCTCCTCCTTATTCAGTTAATTTAATGGTAGTTTTTTATTTTAAAAGATATATATATATATATATATTGATTTTTAAAATTCCATTTACAGATATGAACCAAAATAATTTATTTAAACAAATAATTAAAGAGAATGTAGGATATAACATAACCTCAAAATTAAAAAATAATTTTTAATGCAAACAAAAACTAAATATAACCTATTTTTAAAGATTTAGTTATAAAAATTTCGGATAAAATTATGTTAAGTAATTATTTTTTAACATTTGACATTTTTTCAGAATAAACAAAAATCTAATTTTTTATCTATTTTTTATAAAGGATTAGTTTAAATTTAGAGAAACTTTCTTTACAATCGAAATATTTTTTTAATTGTTAAAAAATTGTAAACAATTCAAATTTTATTTCATAATTAATTTTTTTACAACATATTTTTAACGCTTTAAAAAAATTACGATTGAAGAAAATTGTTTCACTAAATAACAAAAACTTTTGGTTCTAAAGTTTGATAAACACTGCAATTTTTTCAGTTCAGAAAAAAGTTCAAATTTGTAAAAAAATAATTATCTAATAATCAGAAACAATTAAATGTCACTTTTTTCTAATGTAAACATTTGACAAGTATCCAACGAAAAATGCGCCACATTGCCACTAGAGGCGCCACCGTGTTTTCGTGTCCGCAGCGAATACGCGGGAACTGATTCGTCTGTTTAAATCCTCTAGATGCTTCTTACAATTAGCTGATTCATCACAGAATCATTACATTAAATGATACTTAAAAAAATTTTTGAAATCCCAACAGAAACATCTTCAATGCAAAAAGTTACGCAAAGCAAAAATTATCTTAACCATCAAAACAATTCGTAAAATGAAAGTTAGCCAAGTAAATTTTAGGATTATGTTAAGTTTTAATTAACTTTTTTTTTATATAAATAATTAAATTTAAAAATGGGAAATTATATAAATTATAATTTTAAAATATGCGTGCAATGTAAAAAAAAAGAATAGTTTTGGTCTAATTATGAAATAGAGTTAATAATTATTAAAATAATTACTTGAAATCAATTGTTTCATTAAGAAAAATTTCTATCTTAGGCGCAGTTATGAAAACTTGGCGTAAATTATTTTTAAGTATTCAATAATAATTTTTATTTTTTAATATTTATATCCTTCATTAATTTTTTTTTTAATCCACTTGCAGTAGTATAGGTAAAAAATAAATTAACACCAAGTTTTCATAACTGTGCCTATGATAGAAATTTTTCTTAATAAAAAAATTGATTTCAATTAATTAATTTCCCATTTTTAAATTTAATTATTTATATTAAAAAAATTAATTAAAATTTAACAAAATTCTAAAATTTACTTGACTAACTTTCATTTCATGAATTGTTTCCATGGTTAAAATAATTTTTGCTTGGCGTAAATTTTTGCATCGAAGATGTTTTTGTTGGGTTTTTAAATTCTTACCGGATCCTTCATGATCGTTTTGTTTAGCTAGTCTGGCATCCTTTTTATCCAAATAATTTTCTTTCTTTCCATCTTTACCACGACCAAATGTAGCATATTTTTTCAATGCATAATTATCTTTGTTATGTTTGTTAAATTTGTCATGTTTCCTATATCCATGATCAGCATTGTTAAATGTTTCATTTACGTAATCCTTTAATCTGTCAGCGTCACTGTGATAAGTTTTGAAGAATCCTTGCTCTTTATTTAAACCTGAGGTGAAAAAAATATTAATTAAAATTTTATTTGATGATTTATTTATTTGGTGTTTTTGGTCCATTCAGTTTATCTAATCTCACCTTTACAACAACCCTTACAGCATTCGGATATTTAGAATAGATAAAGTATTTTTTGTGCACATTACGGAAATTTATGAAAAGCGGAAAAAATATTAAGATTGTGTGATGTAGTTTGAGTGATGCAAATAACACAACAAAAGTCACATCAGATTTACAGTATTGATTAAAATTCGAACCGCATATATTTAATATTAATCGCGGATGATTTATCAAAAAGAATAATTAATTTCTTTAAAATTTATAGACTCCAAGATCACTGAGAGACCACGCTAAAACATAAAAACATACCAGATTTGTCAGCGTTAATGTTCCCATTTCCATGGTTTGTTTGATGTTCGTTTCCAGCGACAAGAAGATCATAAACTTCACTAGCTGTATTAGACGGTACAATATGACGAGTTTTTCGTTGAAGAGTTTCAATTTTTGCGATTTCACTGTCTATGGTATATTTATTGTTAATTACAGGCTTTGAAGAAACCCAATTAATCATTAATAGCGACCATATAAAAATTATTAATGATTCACTAAAATTTTGTAAAATAAACTTCATTTTTCTAAATTAAAATTTACTTAAAAATATAAATGAAAAGTAAAGACTTTAATATTACTCTCGCACTGTTTTGTGACATAGATTGATTTCTTTAGAGATTTCGACAATATATACTATGCCGCGTATTATACGTTTCGCAAGTACCTTCTGCAATAAGTATAACTAGATTTCTGTCCGCGATCAAAACGTGTCATTGTTTTATCGCTGAATAAAATGATCTTGCATAATTTAACCTTTTTTTTACGTAAATTAACAAAAAAAATTCTTCTTAAAATTGCGTTGTTAAATTTGATATACAAAATCAATTAGATTTAGATTTACCCAATAGAATTATCTTTATTATTTCAATAATACTTTCATAATTACTTGCATAATTATTACATAAATTATTTACTTCTAATCAAAATACAAAAGAGTACAACACTTATAAAAAAATTTTTTTTCTTCTATGTATACATTTAAGGTATTAGTAATAAGTAATAAGTATTAATAATGTTATTAAATAGTTACTGAAAACATCTGATCACAGTTTCATTTAATTGAAAAAAAAGTTTCGAAAAATTGAAAGTTTCGTTTTATTATTAAACTATCAAGACTTCAAATTTTATCAAAATTCTTAAAAGAAATATAGTTTTAAAAATTTACAGAAATTTATTTTAAAATAAACTGAAGAAAAAAAAAAGGTACAATCTTTACGATCTTTCATTTTTAAATAATTATTTTAAAAATTTCAAATTAAATGATATGAAATTAATAATTCATTAAATTTAGAATTATTTACGTATAGTAAAATTTACCTTCTAAAGTATAATAACATTTACTAACTGAAGTATAGTAAATTTTACAGATTTATGTATAGTAAAATTTACAAATTGAAGTATATAGCAAAATTGATTAAAATTTATATAGGTATATATATTTATTGAATTCTAATATTAAATTCATAAACAAAAATCTGCTTTTTATTATTATTTATACATTTTTTTATATATATTTGTAAAAATATTACATATGGGTCAGAATTTCTCAAAAGGATCACCTAAAATTCAGAAATTTTTTTTTTTAATCAAAAATCATTTCTTTTGACTTCTTACATGGTAAAAATAAGTCTCTGAAATTTTTAGGTCAAAAAAAAAGTTTTTATTAAAGTTATAAACAATTGAAATTTTTTGCAGTCTTATTTTAAAAAATTTTTTTTCTCGAGTTCCTGTTCACCAATTAAAAAAAAGGGTTTTTCTCGTCTTAAAATGTAGTTTATAAATATAATTTTTATTTTAAAAAAATTTCATATTTAATAGATTTTTATATTATTTATTTATAAAATGTTATTAAAAAATAGTGTTCTTGATGTCCTACAGAAATGTCCTAAAAAAATATTGCTCAAATTTGTTATTGTTAATATCTCGAAAAATATTAAAAATTTAAAATTTTTACACTTATTTAGCACCACTATTACTACAATTTACTGAATTTTGAGTAAAATCTGAGACATGACCCAGTATTCTCATATGAAATGCCTCATATGTATATAATATTATTATATATAATTATAAATAGTTCAAGGTTATTAAACAAAAATATTAATTTTGTTAACTAATTAAAAACTTTGCTTTTTTATTATTCATGTTGACTAAACTACCTAATGATTTAAACTGTGTAGATACGTAGCGTAGCGCTAGTGCAATAGGGATGTGCACGCGCGACCAGAGTTGCACATCGCACAGCGGCAATTATTAATAAATAACTTTTTTTCCAAATGAGTCTCATTTTTTTTCTCAACGGTTTCTTACACAAAATTGTGTGGGAAATTAAAAAAAAAAATTTAATTTTCTGTAGGACGTCAAGAACACTATTTTTTAATAACATTTTATAAATAAATAATATAAAAATCTATCAAATATCAAATTTTTTCAAAATAAAAATTATATTTAGAAACTACATTTTAAGACGAGAAAAACCCTTTTTTTTTAATTGGTGAACAGGAACTCGAGAAAAAAATTTTTTATAATAAGACTGCAAAAAATTTCAATTGTTTATAACTTTAATAAAAACTTTTTTTTTGACCTAAAAATTTCAGGGATTTATTTTTACTATGTAAGGAGTCAAAAGAAATGATTTTTGATTAAAAAAAAAATTTCTGAATTTTAGGTGATCCGTTTGAGAAATTCTGACCCATATATTTTTTTAAAAATTTTTTTTCTCAAAAGAAAATAAATGTGCATCTCCTGCCTTTGGCTAAAATAAAAATTTAAATTTTGTATCTATCGTTATTTAAATTTTTTTTTGTAAATTATATATATGATTATCAATTTCTATAATATATATAAATAATTATTAATGTAAGTGTAATAAAAACTATTGATATATAAATAACGTTCATTTTTAAAATATACTAATTAGAATATTAATAGCTATAAATATAAATTAATAAAAATGCGAATTATATAAATAAATAATAATAATAAATTGTAGAATAATAAATTGTTGATAAAAACATTTTTTATTCATTTTAACATCTACAAATACATAAAATTCTTATTGCAAATATAATTATTAAACTGAAAAATATTTTTAATCTGCACTTAATATTTTTTTTAATGTTTCAGAGATTATTTTTTATTATTATTGGTATTATGTATTTGCTATTATATGTTATGTATATTCGACATATAGAAGGGTAACATTAAAGTAATCAGAATATGATTTTTTCATAACGAATATAATATTTATTTATTTAGTTGGATCACTATAAAACTGAATTAGTTAAATTAAAATCATCAGATTTTATCAGATCATCAGATTAAAATCAATTCAACATCATCAGACTAAATTTAACAAAAACATGTTTAATTAATGCCCACCACCTATATCTTGATTACCACCACCTGTATCTATATGACACATACACTGTGTCTATTATTATAAAAACAAGAAATTTTACTAAAATCTAATTACCAAATTCCGAGTAAAACTTGGTATTTGTAGAAAATAATTCCTGAAGATTCTTTGCGATATTAACCATTCTTTTTTCCGATGGACTTACACGATCCTCTATTTTCATAATCAGCACTTCCACACCTTCAATTGTGTCAATATATACATTATTCTCCAATATAAATTCAGACCTCGATGTCATGACATAAAATGGATGAGTTGCGTCGGAAATGACACTAGTAACGTCAGCAAGACCAGCCGCATTTTTCAATCTAATATCCATTATTAATGGGATTTGATTTGAAGTACGCGCCATCTTCAGACAATTATCTAATTCCATTTCACGATCTAGATATAACATAGTATTTTCTTCAAATGTAATCCATTTTTTCCTCTCGAGTGATAAAAGGTGCCTAGCATAATCTTCACTAATCATTTCAGCACGATGAAACATTAAGTCTATTCTGCGTGTGCCACTTTGTCTAAGCGCTAGTCGATTAATTGCAGCATCCATTCGTCTTTGTCCATCAATATTTAATAAACTCTTTCTCTTCGTATAGGAATATAAAATATAATAATCCTCAAATCGAAGATGCTGTCTAATATCTTTAATCTTATCATATTTAGAAAAAGCTTCACTTATATCTTGAGAATAAGTTAAACCATATATCTCCAGAATTCTTATTTTTGCATCATTTTCTGCAAAAATATTATCTAAATGACTTTTAAGTAACACGTCTTGAATATACGGATGAAAACCTATTTTCCAATCCTTATATAAATGCGTTAATTTACCACTTAATATTTCATTGACCAATTCATTATAAGTTGGAACATTTTTATTTGGTTTTATTCTTAAAATATACCCTTCGAGATTTCTTCTTGCTGATTTCAAGGAAGTCAGCGGAAGACTGTTGGATAAGATGCTGGCGTGCTTTTCAATCTCACTCAATCTTGGTAATTTTTCATTTTTTTCCATCTGCAACAATTCTGTTAAATCATTCTCTAAAAATTGAAACCAGTGACTGAATGACATTCTTTTTTGCTCTAATTGGATATTCAAAATCTTGTTACTTTCAATAAAAGAACTATCCTTTACTGTAAATACTACATCGCCAAATGTTATGTAGTCACTTACAAAGTCTTCATGAATATGAGATAAGTCTACAATTCCATATGGAGAAGTAATTGTTAAGCTGTATTGTACTTGTATTTCTGAATCCTTTAATTTTAATAGTGGCATTGATTCTTTATTTGTCAAAAGAGTAATGTCATTAAAGAAAAAATCTTTTGTTTTCAAATTACTTAATAAATTAACATTTTCTATTCCATTCATTATTTGAGTGTGATACAGTTTACGTGATATTCTTAACGGATATCCATTATTCAATTGAAAATGAGCCAGAGAATTTAACGCACGACGGAAATTATATATTTTAGTTTTTTTTGTCATCATAAATTTTAAACCATTGTTTCTCCATAATTTTAATAAATTTACATATTCGTTGTACTTTGCGAGTTTCAACATCGTTTTATAGTACACTGGAGTATTTTCAAAACGTTTCATTGAAGTCCCGGAGTGAAACACCAATTTTTGTATTTTTTCCCGATGTAAAGTGTTCTCTAAACCTTCGGATACTGTATTTACTTTTTCTTTGCTTAAATTTGGATTTTGCTGTACATTTTGTCTTGACGTTCCGGGGATATTATCCAATAAATCTTGTGTTTCATGTTGATGTGATGGAATATTTTCTTTAATTTCTGACATTGTATCTAATTTTCTTTTATTTGGATTTAGATTTTGATTTTCTTTGAATCCTTCTAGTATTTGTTTTACATATTGTGAAGAATGATCGTAACCCTTTGGTATTATTTCGACTTTTTCAATATTTACTTTTGGTTTAATTTGTAAAGTTTGTCTCGACGTTCCGGGGATATTATCCAAAAATTCTTGTAATCTTTGCATTTGTACTGTTGAGAATTCGAAACTATTTGATATATCGCCTTCTTTAATCATTGAATTAATATAATCTACTTCTTCCAGCACATTGGTTGATACCGGAAGTGGATGAGGGTGGAGATTAGGAAGTTGTGGAGAATTATTTTCCAATGTACTGAATTGTTGAATTAAATTTACGGGCGAGTTTTCCTTCGAAGGATTTATTTTCCATTCTATTGTATTATGATAGACATGATAATCACGAGTTATTTTCATTTCTGGTCCATTAGCCACCATATCCGCTACCATAAATTTAACTCGAAGAAGCAGATCATTTTTATCCATTTTTAAGTTGGGTCCAATTATATCGCCAGTTTCTGGAACAAATTGTTTGTAAAATATTTCACCTGGTGATTTTACTGGAACAACTGGAAGCTTATATGAAGCTCCTTGCACGGTTCTTAATTCGGCAATCGTGTCAATTGATCTTATGCACTCAGGTCCAAATAAATGTGAACCACCAGGATAATGGTATCTAACAATGTCATAATTATTTTTCTTCAATAAAACCTTTGGTACTAATCCCCTTATATCAGTTAACAGATGCATATTTCGTTGCATGTTCATTAATAAGGTTTTTAGTGATAATATAAAATTTTTAGCTTGTGATATAGTTTTAAAAATTAATTCAAAATTTTTAACCAGTTTTCCTAACATTTTAAAACTAAAGCGGCCCATTGAGTAAAGTAATTCAAATCCAGGATCTAGTGTTCGAAGCGAGGCTATTGTTAAAGCTTTAGAGAATTCTTTAGTTAAAATTTGTTTTGCGATTGTAATAACAGAATCTTTTGTAATTGCCTTTAACGCTGCAGTTAATGACATTTTGGTCACAATTTCGGCTGTCTTTGCAACAGCGTTTGCAATATAAATATTCTTAACAATTGAACCTCCGACACTGTTGACTATCTTAAATGAAGTTGATGCAAATAAACCTATAATTGGCATAAAACTTAAAATATCCAGGCTACAACTTAACGTGGCTCCACTTATGTCACCTGCTATTGAACTTTCAATACAATTGTATAATGGGATAAAAATTTTCACGATATTTGAAATTTTTTCATCAAGAGTTTTCTCATAATATTCTTTTGTCATGTTTGTTATAAACAGCTTTGTCTTCATATTGGCAATTCTTTCAACAAAAAATTTATAATTTTCATTTTTATATTTATACGTTGACTGTTCAAGTAAATTCTCTTTAACTGATTTGACCAGTTTTAAATATTTAGGATTAGTAATAGCGCTAAGAAATTCTTTTTCATTTCCATTTCTTGTAATTAATGTCAATTCATCTTTCACTTGTCTAATAGCGTAGTATTCTTTTTTTTTGTTTTTAATTATTGCAAATATTACATGTATGTCTTCGTTTATTTTTAGGTCGATATTACAATCATCGTAACATTTCATGGGAAATATTAGTTTTGCAGAATTTACTGTAACATTTGGATTCATTTTTTCTAATAAACCACCGTCGATTAAGACATTCGAAATTGAATTTCTTATTATTTCTTTGTACAGTTTTTCTATTTTTGGAAATTGCTTAAAAAATACATTATTTAAATCTGGAAAATGACTTGTTTTGCAATCTCGCTGGAGTACAGATTTTAGTGTCCAAAGGTACAGGGTTTTATACAAGTACACAAGTGTTTCTATATAGACACCATGGACAGAAGGAAAACAATAAAGAAGAAGTATTTCTCGGGCAATCATCGTCCGAGTTTTGGTAATATTGATTTGCCTTTCCAGTTTGTAAGGCAAACTATTCTCAATTTCTTTACTTACAATTTCATTCATTTTGATATCAATTTCGGTAAATAAAATTTTATAAGCTTGTCTCCAAAATTCATCATTTAAATTAATTTTATTTATTCCTTTGCCTTTAGAGGCATAAAAAAATAAAGCTGCAGTTGAGTAATACTGTAATACAATTTTATAGGTTTCATTATCGATATGCTGCAAATCAAGTTCTCGCGAGATTAAAATATATTCCGAGAACGAAAGATTTGGTTCATCCAATGACGTGGACCTGAGGATATTTAAACCTACCATTGAATACATGTATTTAACGTCCATTATGCTCATGTCTTCTTCGGGTTGGGGAAAAATTGACCAAATGTATTCGTCGAAAATTTTTTTAATTGTCAATTGAGGTAGTGTTGATGTGTAATTTTTTTGCGAACAGTATTCCCAATTGAAGTGATGTTGCAAGAGATGATTATACACGGTTTTCTTAAAAATTGAGTAATTTAAATTATCTGAATTCTGAATCATTTCAGCCAAATACAAATTAATGTTGCTATAGTTGGGAAATAGTACCCCATTAATGAAGTACTTAAAGGTTTCATTTACATATTTCTTGTCAAGTTTTTCACCTTTTTCACCACCATAGAGATCAGTTCCTTTTAGTATTGTACTTAAAAGGAAATGTTTCGAGCGGGTTTCATTCTTCGCAATCGTTAGATACTCAATTAAAGTGTTGACAACAATGTCAGGTTGACTTTGCTGCTCAAATGTTATAAAATTTGTATTGTGAAAAAAAGTACCAAGAAGAGTAATGTAGTGACAAACGGAGAGAAATTGAAAGTTCGGTGACTGCTCAACAATGATTGATGTGTTGTTCATTGTGTTGATCCTGAAACAAATTAACGTGTTAGGTATAATAATTATTTTGTATTATCAAAAATTTAATTTAAAATGATTTTTTCTAATTCTAATATATATAATATGTTTATTATTATGGATGTTGACGAATTATGTTTAAGTGTTAATGTCAGTGACATATGTATAAAAAAGTTTTTTTTAATACACTAACCAATATTTGACACTACTATTATATTTGGTCTACTCTTTAAAACTAATAAAATTTAAGTTCTGGGAAATGAGCCTTATATATTTAATATCCACAAGGTTATTCAAATAATGTAGATAAAGAATACTGCGTGTTACACGTGAAACACCTGTTAGTCTATCTTTATTGAAAGATTTTTTGTGCAATTCAATGAGAAAACTGGATCTATACGGTAACTGGTTAATACCGTTTATGAAATTTTCACATTGACTAGAGAAAAATTAACCTGGTTAATAAAATTAATTAACCAAGAATTTTACTTTTGAGATTAATCCTGGTATTAATTTGGATTTTAAAATAAATATCCGTGCAGTTGTGGTTAAGTATTTAAAATTATATTAATAATATTAAATCATTAATTATAAAACTATTTTGCATAAAAGAAATATGACGGATGATTTTCAAAACTTAAGAAATAATAATTAATTGAAATATAAATAAAAAATTGTACTTAACTAAATGAATTAAAATTACAATCAATATCACCCACACAGCACAACATCTTACACCAGGCCTACAGCAGGCTTACATGTAAGGTTTGTAAGGTAACATCGTAAGCACATAGTAGACTTACAGTAAACCTAAAATGTCCGCCTTACAGTAAGCTTACATGGTAGGGTCGAGGTAAGCTTACATGGTAGGGTCGAGGTAAGCTTACACGGTAAGGTCGAGGTAAGCTTACACGGTAAGGTCGAGGTAAGCTTACATGGTAGGGTCGAGGTAAGCTTACATGGTAGGGTCGAGGTAAGCTTACACGGTAAGGTCGAGGTAAGCTTATGAGTAAAGGCTGTGGTAAGGTTATTATTAAGTTGTAAGGTTGAGGTAAGGTTGTGGTAAGCTTACAAGGTAAGGCAAGTTATATTCAAATAATAATATTAATAATAAATAAATATTCAATAAAAAAATTTTTCTTTTGCCTTATTCTATTTTGGGAACCTATCATTTCGCAGAAAGTTTTGAAAACAAATTTGGGAGGAGTAGGATTCGAACCCGGGACCGAAGTATATACCTAACAACCTAACCAACTGAGCTAAACGGGGAACTGACAATGAGAAAAGTAATCTTGCTTTTAAGGAGTTGATTATCTTCTTGGTTCCACTTTAAAAGTAAGATTACTTTTCTCATTGTCAGTTCCCCGTTTAGCTCAGTTGGTTAGGTTGTTAGGTATATACTTCGGTCCCGGGTTCGAATCCTACTCCTCCCAAATTTGTTTTCAAAACTTTCTGCGAAATGATAGGTTCCCAAAATAGAATAAGGCAAAAGAAAAATTTTTTTATTGAATATTTATTTATTATTAATATTATTATTTGAATATAACTTGCCTTACCTTGTAAGCTTACCACAACCTTACCTCAACCTTACAACTTAATAATAACCTTACCACAGCCTTTACTCATAAGCTTACCTCGACCTTACCGTGTAAGCTTACCTCGACCCTACCATGTAAGCTTACCTCGACCCTACCATGTAAGCTTACCTCGACCCTACCATGTAAGCTTACCTCGACCTTACCGTGTAAGCTTACCTCGACCCTACCATGTAAGCTTACCTCGACCCTACCATGTAAGCTTACCTCGACCCTACCATGTAAGCTTACCTCGACCCTACCATGTAAGTTTACCTCGACCTTACCGTGTAAGCTTACCTCGACCTTACCGTGTAAGCTTACCTCGACCTTACCGTGTAAGCTTACCTCGACCCTACCATGTAAGCTTACCTCGACCCTACCATGTAAGCTTACCTCGACCCTACCATGTAAGCTTACCTCGACCCTACCATGTAAGCTTACCTTGACCTTACCGTGTAAGCTTACCTCGACCTTACCGTGTAAGCTTACCTCGACCCTACCATGTAAGCTTACCTCGACCCTACCATGTAAGCTTACCTCGACCCTACCATGTAAGCTTACCTCGACCTTACCGTGTAAGCTTACCTCGACCTTACCGTGTAAGCTTACCTCGACCTTACCGTGTAAGCTTACCTCGACCCTACCATGTAAGCTTACCTCGACCTTACCGTGTAAGCTTACCTCGACCTTACCGTGTAAGCTTACCTCGACCCTACCATGTAAGCTTACCTCGACCCTACCATGTAAGCTTACCTCGACCCTACCATGTAAGCTTACCTCGACCCTACCATGTAAGCTTACTGTAAGGCGGACATTTTAGGTTTACTGTAAGTCTACTATGGGCTTACGATGTTACCTTACAAACCTTACATGTAAGCCTGCTGTAGGCCTGGTGTAAGATGTTGTGCTGTGTGGGCAACTTATTAATTAATTTATTATTATTTATAACAATAATTTTTTTTAAAAAAACTTTTATTGATGCGTAAAGTTATTTTTCGTTAGAGTATTGTATACATATTCTAATTCTTTTGCTATTAAAAAATAATAATTTAACTAGAAATTATAGTTTTTAAATTTAAATTTTTTTGCTTTTTAAATTTTATAAATTATCTCAATTTAATATTGAAGGAATTCAAAAGACTGGTTTCAAAAACTTTCATTTATGAACTGTCACTGAATGTCTTGAAAAAATAAACAAATAGAACCGTTACTATGTTAATAATCGCGAATAATAAATTTAATTGATTTTGAAATTTAAAATCTACAATCTATTATCCATAACTGGTATTATTTTTGAATAATAAAAGCTGGTTAATAGTTTATAAAGAGTATTAAGCAGATTATACTCTGTATTAACTGTTTTTTATTATCCTAATTGTATTATCCAGTTTTCTCTGTGTCGTGTGGAAAAAATACAAACTTATGTATTTTTTCTATAGAAAATACACTACGCCTCTGTTATCTAAAACTTGTCAATGATATTAAACAATAAATTTTTTACATCAATAATAACATTTTATTTATCATTATTCTGGTGAGTTGTTCTAAATATCCATGCATTAATTGAAACATATAGAATCTTAAAAAGAAATACAAACATCACACACATTTCAAACACACAAATTGTTTTCTTATTATTTAAAATTTCTTTTATTTGATCTCTTTGTTTTTCTTGCCATAAATTATTCTTGTGAGACTTGATTTTCAATCAAGTAGCTTAACGTAAAAGTTGTTTAAATTGTAATCATTTCATTAAAGATTAATTGGGGAACTGAATGTATACTTTTGGGGGTTGAATGAATAAACGGATTTCTTTTGTTGTGCTAATTACGTTTTCATTTATTTAGTCACCTTTTTGATGTCTTTATTATATCTCTCTTTTTGATCATTTTATCTAAAATACCGTCTATCCGGGTTTATTGAATTGATAATATACTAAGGGGCACTCCACTAACTTTTTCTAACTTTGTTAGCGAAGAGCAATTTACGCTTTACCAATAAGCGGAATTGTTAATAGTAAAAATTAGTATTATTTCTAAACTTTATTATTTTCTCTTTAAATTATTTATTTTATTTTTGTTAATTAACTTCCGTCTTTAACAATAGCCAAACTTTCCATAAATTACCTCATAAATTTACATAAATTACTGAAATAAATTTTTTAATTGTTCCATAAATTACCAAAATTATAATTTTTAATTGTGATTTATGCTTTACATATTTTTATGAATTTTAGACAAAATTTCTATAAATTGCCGCATAAATTTTCATAAACTACCTCGAAAATTACCGTAAATTATCGAAATAAAAATTTTTAACTGTCGTTCGCACTATATAAATTTTTGTGAATTACCCCAAAAATTCCCATAAACATTTTAAATCAAATTTCAATTATTTTATAGAATTCAAAAAGCAAAGACCCAAGCAAAAATTTATAACCGTAATCGAAAAGAAGTTTAAAAATAATTTTAAAAAAATATGTATGTAAATTTAATTTCTAACCAACAAAAATACACAATTTTCACGTCTATGAAGTTGGCGTCGACGCTCCACGTCGAAAATTATTTTTCACGAGACCAAAAATAACAAATCATTTTTAAAAAGTTTTGGGTTCACATAATACCTTAAACATTTTTAAGGTACATTTTTGTTCCTGTGAAAAATAATTTTCGGCGCTGAGCGTCAACGCCAATTTCATGGAGGTCAATTTTCATAATTTTTCTGGATACTGGCATTCGGTATTGGCTTGCAGTATTGGCACAGTACAGAATTTAATCCATGTCAGTACTGAACCAATACTGGTAAGCCAATTGCCGGCCAGCCAGTATTGGTGCATGATTGCGCCTGTTGTCAATATCGGCTTTTGACAGAAATTTTTGCTTGGGGAATTTTTTTTTTAATTTGTTTAAAAAAATTATAAAAAATGTTTCCGGCCCACCATGGATATTTATTTCTTGACACTTTATCTTCAAAAATATGTATTGATATTTATCATTTCGATAAAGAAATATTTTTAAATTTTTAGACACCAAATCGTGAGTTACGCGAAGAATCACCCACATATAGTAAATTTTGTTAACATCTGGATTCAAAGTTTTAATATAACATGTTAATCTTTATTATCATGAAGAGGATTTTAAAATATATGCTGAATGGCACTTTTTTGCGAGTTATCATGGCATAGGGCCTTGCGATGGTGTCGGAGGTACCGTAAAACGAGCAGCAGCACGGGCAAGTCTTCAGTTGCCATTTGATAAAAAAATTTCAACTTCATAGGAACTACATGAATGGGCTAAAAATTTGAGTAGTTTCCAAAATATTGATTTCAAATTTTCCTCAATCGAAGATTACAAAAGGGAAACCGAAGTTTTTAATCTTCGATATAAAAAGGCAAAAACTATCCAAGGTACACAACAATTTCATTGTGCAATCCCAAATAAAGATGGATCTTTAACTATGCGGATATTTCCCAGCTCAAATGAGAATTATTCTTGCAAAATATTTAAACGTCAAAAAATTGGATTAAGAAAAGATCAAAATTTTAGTTCCAAATACAAGTTTATTATTATAATTACCTCCATTTATAAGTTTTTATTAATTAACTCTTTTACTGAAACATTAGAAATCATATTTGAGTAAAAAA